CCCCATAGGGTTTCCAAGGAGCAGCTGGTGGATTCAAACTGCCAACCTTTTGGTTAGCAGCTGAGCTCTTAACCACTGTGCCACCAGGGCTCCTCACCTACCACAGGACCATGGATTTCCACTAGTTAGTTCTTCCAAGCCAAAAAAATTACTAAAGCAGTATTTGCACATATGTAAAACAATGTACAAGGTCCCTATGTGGTGCAAAGAGTTTGCATTCAACTAATAACCTAAAGGTTGGCGGTTCAAACCCACTTGCCAGTGCCACAGAAGAAGAGGCCTGGCAATCTTCTTCTATTAAGATTACAGCCAAGAAAACCCTATGAAGCAGTTCTACTCAGTAACACACAGGTTCACCATGAATCAGAATCAACTCAGCAGCAAGTAACAACCACCACCAGAAAACAATGTATAGTAGGGATGTTCATTATTTCATTGTTTATAATAGTGAGATGCCACTGACAATGTAAATTTCCATCAAAAGAACCAAGGGAAAATTACAGCACCTCCATGCTATGAAATACCATGCAAACATTAAAATCAGTGAGGTAATGTATCCATACTGACTCCAAAGCATTCTCTTAAAAGAAAAAAATCAAGCCCCCAAGTAATATATATGAAGACATGTTAAAATCTTTAATAATATGTACAACTGTATGTATATAAGTACGTGAACACACATATAAGTCTATATAAGTATATGTATAAATATAAGTATGTTGTACCACATGTAAATTAACAGAAAGGGACTGAATGGAGCCCCAGACTATTAAAATTTGTTACTTTTAGGTTGGTACTTGGTTAGGAAAAAACAAAGGATATTCTCTTATTCTACACATACTTGTGTTTGCTTAAATCTCTTGCATGCAAATGTATCATTTTAATCATTAAAAAATATGAAAATCAAAGCACGAATCATTTGCTGTGACTTCATTTTTTAAACCTGGAGTTAAGAAGGGACAAAGTTAGCACTGTCAATAACTGTACTCCAAGCTTTTATCCAAAAATGGGAACATTCAGCTGTCTCCTGCCAAATCAATAACCAAAATTTGGTTGAGAAAATTCTTCTTCATACAGGACCATTTGTAGGTTAAGCAGTCCATTCATTCTATTGGATAATCCAGCCTTTCATCCGGGTAAAGTCAGACCAGAATGCTCTATTGTCAAGCCAAAGTGTTTTGGAATAATTTTTTCCAATTGCATTTTGCTTTGGCATTACCCGCTTTGCTTGCTCCAAGGAATTTTTAAAACACAAGAACAATGAAATGTTACTTCCCCTGAAGAATTGGTTTGCCTTCTCCTCACAGACATTGCAAATCATGTAACTTTTCATGTTTTTCTTGTTACTATGACTGCCAAGAAAAATTACAATTTCATAGCTAAAGAAACCCACAAGGTCTCACACAATCCCTCAACTATGCTCCAACATTAAGAACTTTGTATGAATCCTATGGCCTACATATTTTGCTTCCTAATTTGCCCTGATTTTAAGATTATAACCTAAACTTATTTTCCACCTGATCATGATTTTTATCTACAGATCCTGTCTCATTCAGTCAAACTGTCTTCTAAAAGCTTCCACAAATCCATTGGGAAACAAAATAAAATAGTCAAACAAACCTCACCTGGGCCTTGGTCATTTTCTTCTGTTCTTAAGAAAGGACTAGTAACTCTAGGGAGTGTTCTGTCTTCTGTCTTCTCTGGACCTCTGTGAAAGTTGTGGTCAGATATCTCACGTCAGACTGTTACCAGAAACAATGGTCTCCCAAGCCGAGAAACTCAGTTCTTCCATCACTTAAAATGTCTTGCTGTTGTAGACCAGAACCTGTGGATTCAAGAGCAAATTCAATTATAAGAAGACATACACCTGGGTCCCCACTCTTAATCTCTCTTACCATGTGGACTCGCTCTAACATAAGGCCCTAGTATTTCATCCGTCTCTTTGTATAACACCTTGGAAGCTTTTACTTCACAGGCCAAGTCTCCATAGGAAGATATGTGTGTGAATAATAGCCAACATAAGGCTAATTTCCAAAATATGAAGATAACTCAAATCCCCACTTTCCCACTTCACCATTCTGACACCAGACACTCATGTGGCACTTTCTCTCTCCCTACCTACCCAGAGTCTGGTCTCCACAAGTCAGGACTCTGTCCTTCCAGCCCCTGCCAAATAGGCAAATGCCAGCCTCTCTAATAGTTCTCACTGCTCCTGGTAGGTTTGATAATTCACTAGAATGACTCACCAATCAAAAATCCATTGCCAATTCTGACCATAGCAACCCTCTAGGACAGGGCAGAACTGCCTCATACAGGTTCCAAGGCTGTAAATCTTTACAGAAGCAGACTGCCACAACTTCCTCCTGTGGAGTGGCTGGTGGGGTCAAATGGCTGACCTTTCAGTTAGCAACTGAGCACTTAATCACTGCACCACCAGGGCTCCTTACAAAGACTCACAGAACTCATGAAAACTATTACCTACACTTGCATTTTGTTTGTTGTTGTTAGGTGCTGTCGAGTTGGTTCCGACTCATAGTGACACTATCTACAACAGAATGAAACATTGCCCGGTCTTGAGCCACAACTGTTGTTATGCTTGAGCCTATTATTTCAGCCACTGTGTCAATCCAGTTGAGGGTCTTCCTCTTTTTCACTGACCCTCTATTTTACCAAGCATGATGTCCTTCTCTGTGAACTGGTCTCTCCTGATAACATGTCCAAAGTACATGAGATGAAGGCTTGCCATCCTCACTTTCACGGAACACTCAGGCTGTATTTGTTCCAAGACAGCCTTGTTCGTTCTTCTGGCAGTCCGTGGTATATTCAATATTCCTTGCCAAAACCATAATTCAAAGGCATCAATTCTTCTTCAGTCTTTCTTATTCACTGTCCAGCTTTCACATGCATATGAGGTGATTGAAAATGTCATGGCTTGGGTCAGGTGCACTGTAGTCCTCCAAGTGACATCTTTGCTTTTTAACTCTTTAAAGAAGTCTTTTGCAGTAGATTTACCCGATGAATACGTTGTTTGATTTCCTGACTGCTCCTTGGGTGTTGCTTGTGGATCCAAGTCAAATGAAATCCTTGACAATGTCAATCTTTTCTCCATTTATCATGATGTTGCTTATTGGTCTAGTTGTAAGGATTTTTGTTTTCTTTATGTTGAGGTGTAATCCATACTGAAGGCCATGGTCTTTGATCTTCATCAGTAAGTGCTTCAAGTCCTCTTTGCTTTCAGCAAGCAAGGTTGTGTCATCTGCATATGGCAGGTTGTTAATGAGTCTTCCACCAATCCTGATGCCACATTCTTCTTTATACAGTGTAACTTCTCGGATTATTTGCTCAGCATACAGACTCAGTAGGTATGGTGAAAGGATGCAACCCTGACAAACACCTTTCTTGATTTTAAACCATGCAGTGTCCCCTCGCTCTGTCTGAACAACTGTCTCTTGATCTATGTACCTCATGAGCACAATTAAGTGTTCTGGAATTCCCATTCTTTGCAATGTTACCCATAATTTGTTATGATCCACACAGTCAAATGCCTTTGCATAGTCAATAAACACAGGAAAACATCTTTCTGGTATCCTCTGCTTTCAGCCAAGATCCATCTGACATCAGCAATGATATCCCTCGTTCCAAGTCCTCTTCTGAATCTGGCTTGTATTTCTGGCAGTTTCCTGTCAATGTACTGCTGCAACTGCTTTTGAATGATCTTCAGCAAACTTGACTTGCATGTGATATTAATGACACTGTTCAATAATTTCTGCATTCTGCTGGATCACCTTTCTTTGGAATGGGTACAAATATGGATCTCTTCCAGGTGGATGGCCAGGTAGCTGTCTTCCAAATTTCTTGGCAAAGATGAGTGAGCACCTCCAGCACGACATCCGTTTGTTGAAATATCTCAATTGGTATTCCGTCAATTCCTGGAGCCTTGTTTTCTGCCAATGCCTTCAGTGCAGCTTGGACTTCTTCCTTCAATACCACTGATTCTTGATTATATGCTACCTCCTGAAATGGCTGTACATCAACCAGTTCTTTTCAGTACAGTGACTCTAAGTATTCCTTCCATTTGCTTTTGATGCTTCCTGTATCATAATCAATAAGACACTGGTAAACATCTTTCTGGTATTCTCTGCTTTCAGCCAGGATCCATCTGACATCAGCAAAGATATCCCTCGTTCCACATCCTCTTCTGAATTCAGCTTGAATTTCTGGCAGTTCCCTGTTGATATAATGCTGCAACCAGCTTTTGAATGATCTTCAGCAAAATTTTACTTGCATGTGATATTAACGATCTTGTTCGATAATTTCTGCATTTGGTTGTTTATTTTTGGTAATTTATAAAAACAAAAAATAAAGTAAGCAAAAACAAATGTAAAGATACTATTTAGGTCCACTGATAGATAATTGAGTGAAAAATTATAATCCATCTAATGGAACACTATACAATTATTTAAGATTGTAATCCGTATTTACTGGAAAAAAGATGCCCATAATATAGTGAACCAAATACAAAACACATTACTTTTATTTAAAAATTAATTATGTAAAAAAAGTAATTATGTATACGTATGTATAATATGGGGGGCCTGGTGCCATAGTGGTTAAAGAGATCCGCTGCTAATCAAAAGGTCAGCAGTTTGAATCCACCATCCACTCCTTGGAAACCATATGGGGCAGTTCTACTCTGTCCTATAGGGTCGCTATGAGTCAGAATTGACTTGACAGCAACGGGTATGTGTAAAATGACCCTATATTTCTACAGAAGTAAAGGAATACATCTCTCTGTGTGTATGACACACACATACACACTCACAAATATGTTAGTAATTATCATGGCTGGATATTACATTGGAAAGTGAATTTTATACCTTTTTAAGCATAGGATTTTTTAAAATTAAAGCAATTAAAATAAAAATTACAAAATTTAAGAAAATAAATCTCCACTTGAAATAAAATTAAGGATGGTACCAAATGTGATAAATACATAGCCTTATATGCTTCAGGAAAAAATAAAGGAAGAGAAGAAGAGACAGGTCATTTATCTCATAGGATGTCTCTCCTTCTGGATTAACCTGATTTCTTCTCCCGGTATAGTTTAATTTATTCTTCCCCACCTTCCTCCACTACCAATTTTTCCTAAATTCAACTACGAAAATAAGAACCACCATCTAGGTAATGATAGGTAGTTGAACTTAGCAACTGCAGTTTGTTAGTTCCTTATTTAATTTTTTTGGAAAGAATTCTTCAAAGCTGCTGCTATGTACTTATTGCAACATATTAAGAGGCATGAGGACACACACGTATGCACACACAAAGGGGTACTATTATAGAATAAAAGAAACAACGAGTAAATGCTATGCATGCATGTTATTTGGATTATGATTCAAACAAACTAACATTAAAAGTCAACCTGGAGATGATCAGAAAAAATGCAACATGGACTGAGTATTCAGTGAAAAAGGATCTCTGGTTAGCAGTGCTCAGCTGCTAACCAAAAGGCTGCCTGTTCGAACCTACCAGCCCCTTTACAGAAGATGCAGTAGTTAGGTTCCATAAAGATTACAGCCTTGGAAACCCTACAAGGCAGTTCTACTCTGTCCTATAGGGTCACTATGAGTCAGAATCCACTCAAGGGGAGCAGGTTGGGCTTTTGGCTTTACTCAGTGAAATAAACTGTTAATTTTGATACACTGAAAAACTTCCTAGTGGTTATAATCTTTTTTATGACCTTACCAGTTAGAGAAGCATATTCATAAGTAAAAGGACGCGAAACCTTAGATTTGCAATGAAATTCTCGAGAGAAAAATAGATGAATAAAATTGGCCATGAATTTATAATTGTTGAAGATGAGCAACGGGCACATATAGTATTTTTTTTTCCACTCCTGTATATGCTTGCGAATTTTCATGAAAAAATGAGTTAAAAAAAAAAAAAAAAAGTGACCAGGGCCTGATGAGTGCCATCTAATCTCTACAGATGATTCCAATATTTAAAATCTCAGATCAAAGAAAAAGAAGGAAGCTTTCCCTATCAATTCTAGGAAGCCAGCATTTCTAAATACTAATTTAGAAAGTCGGAGCCCTGGGTGCACAGTGGTTAAGAGTTACTGCTGCTAACCAAAAGCTTGGCAGTTCAAACCCACCATCTGCTCCAGTACAAAAAAAAAAGGAACTATCCTGATTTTCATCCTCCCTTCTTTTCTAATCTATGCATTTAAAGATATAAATTCCCTACAATGACCTCTTTAAATGAATTCCACAAGAGTTATGAATTGCCCAAAGGCTGACATGTAGGATTATTATTAAAATGTAATTCCAAATATTTCCACTATGATTTTTTTTGGACTCACAGATTAATTATAAGTATACGGTTTAATTACCAAACAAAGGGTGATATTCAAGTTATTGTTTTGGTCTTGATTTATACCTTGATTTGCAGGTTACAATGACCTGAAAGTGAATTTTCTTGTCTAGGAGATAGGAAACTCACCCTTGAAAGCAAGCATACGATAAACAACAAACACGGAATTCCCAAACGCTGCTCCCAACACCGAGCGCCACGACTCACTTCAATAACCGGCACCCCAACGCAGACACCCCTCCACGCGCTACTCGAAGAGACCTCCCGACACTTCCCAACGCGAAACCCCACGAGCTCCCCCTACACAGGTAACCCTCAACAAGGATCTCCTAAATGATCCTCCGACGCGGAACCACCCGCACCCCACGTCATGGAAAATTCTCCTTCCTCCAACACCGACCCCGATGCGCTCCCGAACACAAAAGCCCCAACACGATCTCCGTGGCCCCGAAACACGTCCAGAACCCAAAACTGACTTGACCGACGATCTCCATCTCCATCACTGGAGACGAATCCCGAAACTCACTTTTCTAAACACTTTCCCTCTGTGCCCCCCGTCCCGCGGTCCCACCTACGCGGCTGACCGGACCCTCAGAAGCTTTGTGGACGGCGCTGGACCACAGCCACTCGGCCACTTTCCAGACACTCAAAGTATGCTTTCCCAATATCCCTTTATGACGCAACATACTCGCTCCCCGTAAGCGGATACGTGCCGGGAGCGGCCATTTTCCAACAAAACCGCCGTAGAGCGGGCGAAGGTGTCTTTCTTACATCTTATTTGCAAGGCACAGGACAATGAGAAGCAATTGAAAACGACTTATTTTGCCACATTTCTAGAATATCTCAACCACTGGGCCTCGATCTTGCAAAATTTTCCAAGGCCGCTAACTCCTGCAGGCTCTCTGCCGGCTAGCTCTCCGCAGGCTGGGCGGAGTCCATCGCGGACATTCAGGCAAGTTTAGCCTGAGCAGGATGGGGAGAAGTCCCAGTAGGCGCAGCCATCTTGGAGTTAACGTCCGTACAGAGATACCAAGCAACTCTAGGGGACATCCAGCTGGCATTCCGGGAAGGCTTCTGGCTAGAAGGGGCTTTTTCGAGAAAGCTGCAGTTGAACGCAGTTTAGGGTTTAGAGGAGCCCTGGTGGCACAGTGGTTAAGAGATAGACTGCTAACCAAAATGTCAGCAGTGGAATCTACCAGGCTCTCCTTGGAGACCCTAGGGGGCGGTTTTACCCTGTCCTACAGGGTCGCTATGAGTCGGAATCAACTTGATGGCACTGGGTTTGGTTTTACAGTTCAAGTAGTTGTGTAAACGTCAAACAGGATAAACCCAAGAAATTCATGACAAATTTTCTCTTGAAAACTATAGAAAAGGCTTGAAAGCAGTGAGCTATGGCTAAAATCTAACGAAGTTGTGTTAGGCAGAATAATGGCCCCCCTAAAATGGCCACATCTTAATCCTTAGAACATGTGCATATTTTACATTATATAACTAAGGGGAATTAAGGTAGCAGGTGGAATGAAATATTTTGGAATCATATAACTTATTTCTTAAATTTCATAGGCTCACATATGAAGACTTTTGAAAACTCAAGATGAATGCATACCTAGAAACTGAACTATACCTGATTTAGATGATTTAGATAAGATTTGATACTTTTGAACTGGTAAGATTTAGATGAGATTTGAGACTTGAGTGATGCTGTAATGGGTTGAGACTTTTGGGATGTTAAATAGGGTGAATGTATTCTGCATGGGGGATAGATATGAATCACTGGTGGCCACAGGACGGACTAGACAGAATGGTAGCCTCCCAAAAATGTCCATGCCCTAGACCCTAGACACTGTAAATAAGTTCCATTACATAGCAAAAGAGACTTAAAATAGCAGAAGTTAAAAAAACAAAACAAAACCCACTGCCGTCAAGTCTATTCCAACTCATAGCAACTTTCCTATAGGACAGAGTAGAACTGCCCCATCAGGTTTCCAAGGCTGTAATTTTTATGGGAGCAGACTGGCACATCTTTCTCCACAAAGCGGCTGGTGGGTTCGAACCACTGACCTTTCAGTTAGCAGCTGAGCGCTTATTGCTAATAAGCTGATCTTAAAATAGAGAAATTATCCTACATTACCCCAGTTGACCCAATGTAATCTCAAATCAAACCTATTGCCATGGAGTCGACTCCGACCCATAGCAACCCTATAAGACAGAATAGAACTGCCCCATAGGGTTTCCAAGGCTGTAATTTTTATGAAAGTAGACTGCCGCATCTTTGTCCCTTGGAGCGGCTGGTGGGTTCCAACCGCTAACCTTTTGGTTAGTAGCCATAGCTCTTAACCACTGCACCACCAAGGCTCCAATGTAAATCCCAGTAGTCCTTAAATGAGGAAGAGGGAGGCAGAAGAGTCAATGTCAGAGTGATGAAAGACTTGGCTGGCTACTGCTGCCTTTGAACATTGAAGGGAACGAATAGCAAAGGAATGTGGGCAGCCTCTTCAAGGCAGAAAAGGCAAGTATTCTATCCTAGAGGCTGCAAAGAAACAGCCCTGGCAACACTTTGATTTTAGCCCAGTGAGAATCATTTTGGACTTCTGACCGCCATAACTGTAACATAATAAAATTGTGTTATTTTAAGACACCAAATCTGTGGTAATTTGTTACAGCAGCAATAAAAAACTAATACACTTGTGTTTCCACATTCATTATATTCAGATTTTCATTACAGAACTCCACTCCTACTGTCCACAAAGATTTCATTTATTAAAAAAGCCTATTTCATATTCTAAAGGTATTAAAATGTGATAGAAGAGTGAGAGTGATGACAGAATTTCTATCATTTCCCTAAATAATAAGACATATAAGACATAATCACTAAAGGTGTTGTCACATTTGCTGCATTTGCAAGGTTTACTCCCTGTCTTAGTTATCTAGTTCTGCTGTAACATAAAAATCGTAAGTGGATGGCTTTAACAAACAGAAACATATTTTCTCACAATTTAGGAGACTAGAAGTCTGAATTCAGGGTGCCAATTCTAGGGGAAGGTTTTCTCTCTCTGTAGGCTCTAGAGAAAGGTCCCTGTCTCTTCTGAGCTTCTCCTCTGGGTAATCTTCATGTGGCTTGACATCTTTCTTCCCCTATCTCTGCTTCTTTCCTTTGTTTAATCTTTTTTATATCTCAAAAGAGACTGACTTAAGACACACTCTACAATAATTTTGTCTCATTAACATAACAAAGACAACTCATTCCTAAATGGGATTATAATCACAGGCATAGAGGTTAGAATTTACAACACATATTTTTGGGGGACACAATTCAATCCATAACATTCCACCTTTTGGGCCCCCAAAATTCATGTCCTTCCCACATGCAAAACACATTCACCCCATCACACCATCCCAAAGGTCTTAATTCAGTTCCGTGTCCCAAATCTCATCTTCTGAATCATCTAAATCAGATATGAGTGAGACATTAGGCGTATCTCATCCTGGGTCAAAATTCCTCTTTGTCTGTGAACCTGTGAAATCTAGACTACAAGTTATCTGCTTCCAAAATGTGACCTTAATACTCCCCAGCATGTTTCCTCCTTTTCAAAATGGGCAACTGAGATCTTGTCATAACTAATGCCATAATGAACCTGTAAGTTTCTTTTTTTCTTCACCTTCTCCCTTTTCGCATACCTTTGTTAATGACTTTGTTTTATGACTTAGGATCCCCCGCAGGAAGATTAGAGCCCAGATGTCAGATATGTATATCTTTAGCCTGATAAGGAAATGTCCGGATAGTCTCTTGTAATTACCTTCGAATGAATAACAATACTTCCAACCTATGTAAAAATCACATATAAGCTTTAATGTAAAAATGCCTTTTGGGACTCCCTAAAGACAGCCTGCGTTACTGTTGGGTACCCGGTGGTGTACACTTCCTGAATTAAAACTTTCTCCCTCTTTCTGACTTGGAGTATGTTTTATTAGATCGACTGCTCCAGGGCATGGACCCTATTCAGGTAACAAAAGTACAATGGTGGAACAGGTACATAGGAGAAATTGGAGCAAAAGAAGGGATAAGGGATACCTACCTAGCAAGACCAAGACTCAGCAGAACAATTTACATTAGCTCTCAAGGCTTGAAAATAATCCCATTCTTTGAGACCATCAGGGCAATGGCCCTGCCCTCCAGACTCTAGGAGCTGGCCATGCTCTCTTGATTCTAGGTGGAGGCCCCTCAGCCCTAGGCTTCAGCTCTGTCTTCCATGCCCACTGGCCGGCAACTCGACTCCCTTGGCTTTGGGCGGCCCCATTCTCCTAGTCCGTCTGTGGTGTGATGGATCACTTTTGTGTGCCTTTCTTGCCATGGTCTTCTAACTCCCACCATGCAGGACTGGGAAGATAGGGTAATTGTGGCCCACCAAAGGGACTGGTCAGTTTTGCCATACCACTGGGCTTGAGGTAAGCCATCCCAGAGGTGGGAAAGAGAGGATCCCACCACCACCAAGGAAGAGCGAGCAGCCAGGAGCAGACAGTGCATCCTTTGGACCAGGGATCCCTGCGTGGAGAAGCTCCTACAACCAGGTGAGGCAGAGAGCGAGCTCAAAAAGCAGTGGCAAAGAAATGATGGCAGGAGACGACATGGTGGGCTTCCCAGCCCATGGAGCAAGAAAGCTGAGTGCCTTTGGGCAAGAGGCTTCCTGGCGGAGTAGAGTGCCTCTGGGCACTTATTGGCAGGAGCTAAAAAAGCTTTTGTAACATTTGCCTGAGCAGGGCAGAGGCTTAGGACCAAAGTGTGCCTGCGAACACAGCTAAAAAGAGCCTCTCCTGATGGAAGAACTGCATCCTGAGTGTTCCTGAGCCTGAATTTTGCCATGGTTAAGAGCTTGGCTGCTAACCAAAAGGTTGGCAGTTCAAATCCACCAGTTGCTCCTTGGAAACCCTATGGGGCAGTTCTACTCTATCCTACAGGTTGCTATGAGTTGGAATCCACTCAACAGCAACGGGTTTGGTTTGGTTTGGTTTTACTTCCCTAATAAACCCCATAATCATGAGTATTGTCTGTGACTTATGTGTGGCCATTCGAATGAATTACTGAACCCAGCAGAGAAGTACAGAGTGCTGTGGGAGGGACAGTTAGTGTCAAAATTGGTAAAGATGGTGAAGAGAGGAGACATATCTGACCTCCGCCTCATAGGAATCAGCCTTGGGCTGTTGATCTTGATTCTCCTTCCCCCTTGTGAAAAGAGAGATCAGACACTGCCTCCAGGCCATTTTTACACCGAGTGTCGACCCCACCCTCTCAGCCCCAGCAGGCCCTGTTCTTCTGCCCCTTGGTTATGGCAGCCCCAACATCTCAGCTTTGAGTGGTGATCCCACCCACTGACACACCTTAACAGCACCCCCACACTCCGGAACTGAGTTGGCCAAGATCCAACTCTATGAAATCTAGAGGGTTGTGGACCTACCAACAGTCTCTTCAAAGCAATCTAGGCTTTTACTGTTAGGCACCTTAATACTCTTGCAGCCTCTACCCATTACCCAATCCCAAAACTGCTTCCACATTTTAGGTATCTGTTAGAGAAACACCCTGCTCTCGATACCAAATTCTGTCTTAGTTATCCAGTGCTGCTATAATAGAAATACCACAAGTGAATGTCTTTAACAAGCAGAAATTTATTTTCTCACAGTTTAGGAGACTAGAAGTCCAAATTCAGGGTGCCAGCTCTAACGGAAGGCTTCCTCTGTCAGCTCTGGAGGAAGGTCCTTGTCTCTTTTGAGCTTGTCCTCCTGGGCAATCTTCACGCGGCTTGGCATCTCTCTTCTCCCATCTCTGTTTCTTAGCCTTGCCTGTTTAATCTTGTCTATATTTCAAAAAAGGTTGACTTAAGACACACTCTACACTAATCCTATCTCATTAACATAATAAAGACAACCCATTCCCAAATGGGATTATAACCACAGGTATAGAGTTTAGGATTTACAACACATATTTTTGGGGGACATAATTCAATCCATAATACTCCCTGTGAAAATTCCCAATTATGTACCATGGTCTGACTTCCTGAAAAGGCTGTTCCACAATCACTACATTTTTACCTCCTTGAAGCTCACAGATGTTTAAAGGCTGAGTTCTTGAAGAAAGCATTTCCAAAGGCACTGTATTCATAGGGTTTTTTTCCTGTATGAGTTTACACATGTATAAAGAGCTATGTCTCCCTGAGAAAGCTTTTCTCCCTTTCAGTGAATTTATCACTTTCTCTCTGACATGAGTTTCCTTATGTTTAATACGGAATGACATGTGGGTAAAATCTTTGCCAAAGTCACTACATCCATACAGTCTCTCCCTGGAATGAGTTCGCTGATGTTGATTGAATGAGGTCAGGCTTACTTCCAAAGACTTTTTCACACTCACTACATTCATAAGGTCTCTCTCCTGTATGAATTCTTTGATGCTTGGTCAAGGCTGCCTTAAAAGCAAAGGTTTTCCTACATTCACTGCATTCATATGGCTCTCTCTGGTATGAGTTCGCTGATGTTGAATGAGTTCAGACTTGCTTCTGAAGACTTTTTCACATTCTCTACATTCATAAGGTCTCTCACCTGTATGAATTCTTTGATGCTTGGTCAGTGCTGACTTAAAAGCAAAGGTTCTTCCACATTCACTGCATTCATAAGGCTTCTCTCCTGTGTGAAGTCTATGATGTAAAACAAGGTATGCCTTCTGGGAAAATGATTTCCCACATTCATTACATCCATAGACCTTCTCTCCAGTATGAGATAGCTGATGTCTCTTGAGCCGGCTCTTCCAAGAGAAGGTTTTTCCATGTTCATTGCATACACAGGGTTTCTCCCTGTATGAATTCTCTGATGGTAAAAGAGCAGTGACTTTCTGTAGAGGACTTTCCCACATTCACTGCATTTATGTGGTTGCTCTTCTGTGTAAGTTTTTGGCTGGCCACTGAGCTGTGACCTAATGCTAGTGGGTTTAAAATACCCATGGTATTTAATACCAGGAAAAGTTTTATCATGCTTCATGTGGACAGACAATTTCTCGTAACCACTAAACTCATCAGAATCCTTTCCTTCATCTCCTCTATTCTGGATGACAAAATTTAAACGAGATTGCAAACTTCTATGATGTAAGTCAAACATATTGTGTCTCTGAGTTAAAGGAGCAAGATTTTTGCTTAATCCAAAATTAATTCCAAGTGAAAAACTTTGCAGACATCTTTCCAAGCTTTTAAGCTCATTTTGGTTTCCTGGTTGCCACTGCATACTGTCAATTGCCCATATTTCTTCTAGAAAAAAGAACAATGAAAACATCCACAATCATTTTACGGGGGGGAAAAGAAGTACAAAAATGACACAGTTTGGACTGGGTCTTATAAAAGTCTAAAAGAAATCTACCTGGTGAATATGTACCGTTTATTGAAAAAAAAACTCAGTTATTTTAAAAAACAGGAAAAGAAAAACATATTGTAGAAACAATGAAATTGTGTCTTCTGTTATGTGAAAACAAAATATTAAAAAACAGGGAAAACAGCCACTGTAGAAACAATGATGGATAGTCTACAATGAATAAATATAACATGGGCTGCTTAACATATTAAAAAAAAAAAAACCAAAGCATTGTCATTGAGTTGATTCTGACTCATAGCGACCCTATAGGACAGAGTAGAACCGCTCCCTGTCACTTCCAAAGAGTAGCTGGTGGATTTGAACTGCCGACCTTTTGGTTAGCAGCTGAGCTCTTAACCACTGTGCCACCAGGGCTCCAATTTCCACACAGGTAGAAATAGAAACAAATTACTGTTGGAATAGAACAAAAAAACATGGACGGAAATCTGATCCAGGATTGTAGGGGATGGATCTGATCATCCAACACACATTTGTTTAAGACATTAAAGTAACTAATATATTCTCTGCCTTCGTAGAGAGATCATTATAGTCGAGTTAAAAAAAAAAAGAATCAACAGGTAAGCAAAGAAACGAGAAAATTACAGAATGAAAAATGGTAAGAAGGTGAAAGAGAAGTGGTTTGTTGCTGTTATTGTTAGTTGTTGTCAACTCTGACTCATAAACAAAACCCACTGCCTTTGAGTCGATTCCAAATCATAGCGACCGTATAAGGCAGAGTAGAACTGTTTCATAGGGTGTCCCAGGAGCAGCTACTAGGTTCAAACTGCTGATCTTTTGGTTAGTAGCCAAGCTCTTAACCACTGCGCCATCAGGGCTCCTTCTGACTTGTAGGTCAATCATATATAAGAGTTACTTTTGAGTCTCCACCACAGAGCAGAGAGCTTAGGTCTGTGAATGAACTCTTAATATGAACTTTTAAATCAAGCAGAAGATAACAAAACTGAATCTGGAAAGCCAGGGAAGCAGGGAGAGAAAAAGTAGATAACGATAAAGTTGCCCTGAGAGATGAGATGTATGTGGTTTTTTTATGAACTAAGCTGAGGTGGACTAGCAGGAAGGGAAATCAACCCTTTCAAAAGTAGACAGCATTGCTGAGAGCAATATTAACTGTAGGAGTAGAAAGGAGGAATTTCATAGCAAGGCAGTGTGGCTGCCATAGAAGAAAAGGAAAAGACGTGAGGATGCTGGAAAGAATGGAACCCAAGAAATCAAGGTGCTACATGAGATGGATTGTGATCAGATTCAGAAGACAGAAAAAGGGGGAGACACAGTCCTTCAAAAACAGGCAAAGGAAAACAGCCCTAATAAAGAACAAAGACGTTAAAGGGGTTGATTAGCTTTCTGGGTCACTAGCTGGTGCAAGAAGAATTCTATATAAAACATTTCAAAAGTGTCAACCTTTCGTTGGCTACCTGGGATCTTAATGTCATTTCTGCCCATTGTCTTGCTTGTCACTTACTCACCTGGACTGGTCTGACTATGGACTGCTCCCTCCACTATCCATGGTGTTTCTCCTTGCTCCAACTCGAAGACTGAATCTCGTTTGGTACCCTGACATCCTGTAAAAGGGAAATGACTGAAGACTTGGCACCAAATATTTATGCATGGGGAAGCTAGGAAAATTGAAAAACATTGTATTTCAGGGACCACGGTATTTGTACTTTACTAAGTAAAAGCCTTTCTACTCAGGAGGGGAGAGCATATACTCTAGGGTCAAACACTAAATATTCATGGGGCCCTAAAGATTTCACCAAATGAGAAAGAAAAGAGTCCATAGTGAGTGACCCGGTGATGCTGTCCTTACCTACTGATACCAGACTGTTGTAGTTTTCCAACATCACATCCTTGTACAGGTCCTTCTGAGAGGGGTCCAGTAACTGCCACTCCTCCCAGGTGAAGCCCACAGCCACATCCTCAAATGATAAAGATCCCTGGAATAACACATTCCAATGCAATCTGAGATGGATATCAATACATGATCTGGAAAAGATGGACAGGAACATGTTCTGATCATTTGCCCCATGATAAACTGTGCACACTGCTACTATTTCATCTACCACAGGAATAATGGATTTCCACTAGTTAGTTCTTCCAAGCCTAAAAAAATTACTAAAGCAGTATTTGTACACACGTAAAACAATACACAAGGTCCCTATGTGGCGGAGAGGGTTTGTCCAACTAATAACCTAAAGGTTGGCAGTTCAAACCCACTCAGCAGTGCCACAGAAGGCCTAGCAATCTGCTTCCGTTAAGATTACAGCCAAGAAAACCCTACCAAGCAGTTCTACTCTGTAACACATGGGGTCACCATAAATTGAAATCAGCTTGGAAGCAAGTAACAACCACCACCACAAAACAATGTGTAGTAAGAAAGCTCATCATTTCATTGTTTATAATAGTGAGAAAACACCAATAATCTAAATTTCCATCCAAAGAAGACAAGGTAAAATTACAGCACATCCATGCTATGAAATATCATGCAAACATTAAAATCAGTGAGGTGATGTATCCATACTGACTCAAAGGCATTCTCTGAAAGGAAGAAGATCAAGCCCCCAGGCAGTATATATACTATGATCCAAAACATGTAAAAATTCTTACTAATATATACAATTGTATGTAGATAAGTGCATGTATGTATAGAGAGGCCTGTGTAAATATGTGTACAAATATAGATATGTTTGAACACATGTAAATTCACAGAAATGGACTAGATGGAGCACCAAACTATTCAAATTTTTTATCTTTGAGTTGGTAGTTGGGAAGAAAGAAACAAAGCATATTCTCTTACCCTATCAACACTTCTGTTTGCTTAAATTTAAATCTCTTACACACAAACGTATCATTTGAATCATTAAAAATACGAAAGTCAAACTAAGAACAATTGGCTGTGACTTCATTTTTTGAACTGGGCGTTAAGAAGGGACAAAGCTTTTAGTAAAAAATGGAACCTTCAACCATCTCCTGCCAAATCAATAACCAAAATTTGATTGGTAGAATTTTTCTTCATAGAGGACCATTTGCAGGTCAAGCAGCCCATTCATTCTACAGGATATTTGGCTTTACTCCTCGGTACCTTGGTTATCTAGTGCTGCCATAACAGAAACACTATAAGTGGATGCCTTTAACAAATAGAAATTTATTCTCTCAAAGTCTGGAAGGCTAGAAGTCCAAATTCAGGGTGCCAGCTCCAGAGGAAGGCTTTCTCTCTCTGTAGGTTCTGGGGAAAGGTCCTTGTCATCAATTTTCCCCAGTCTAGGAGCTTCTAAGTGCAGGAACCCTGTGTCCAAAGGATGTGCTCCACTCCCAGAGCTTCTTTCTTGGTGGTATACAGTCCCTCTTTCTTGGTGGTATAAGGTTGCTCTCCTCTCTGCTCGATTCTCTCTTTTATATCTCAAGAGATTAACTCAAGATACAACCGGATGCTGTAGATTGAGTCCTGCCTTATTAACATAACTGCCTCTAATCCTGCCTCATTGAGACATCATTGAGGTTAGGATTTATAACACATAGTATAATCACATCAGATCACAAAATGTTGGACAACCACATGATACTGGGAATCATAGTCTAGCCACACTGACACACATTTTTGGAGGACACAATTCAATCCATAACATTCCTTGCTTTTGCCCCCCAAAATTCATGACATTGCCACACATAAAACATATTCACCCCATCATATCATAGCAGAGTCTTATATCAACTCCAAGTCCACAATCTCCTGGGGCAAAATTCCTCTTCATCTGTGCAATCTAGAATACAAGTTATCTGTTTCCAAAGTACAGTGGTGGAACAGGCACAAGGTAGATATTTCCATTACAAATGGGAGAAATTGGAGGGAAAGATGGGATAACATCTACCAAGCAAGTGAGCAGAACACATTACATAGCTCTCAAGGCTTGAAAATAATCCTCTGTTCTCTGAGACTATTGAGACAATGGTCCTGCTCTCCAGACCCTGGGTGTTGGCCACTCTCCAGACTCTGGGTGGAGGTCCCTTAGCCCTGGGCTTCAGCTCCACCTTCCAGGCACACTGGAATGGCAACTCTTTTCCCTTGGCTTTGAGCAGCCCATTCCACTGGCACTCATGAAAGGCCACATTCAGGAACTGAGTTGGTGAAAATGTAACTCTCTGAAGCCAAGGAGGTTATGGCCCCACCCTTTGAAATCCCAAAGGCCATGGCTCTACCCTTTAGACCTCAGACTCTTCTTGATGGTAGTGAGGTCTCCTTCAACCTCTGTGGGATTAGCTCTCATCAGCCTAGCAGAAGGCCAAAGGGAACAATCCCCTTGGTAGGCCACAGTCATGCAGTTTGCATAGTAATCCACAAGTAAGTCACAGTAATTCCCACAAGGGTTTTACACACCATATTTGCATAGTAATCGACCAATAGCCACAAGGGTTTTATACACCCTACTTGCATAGTAGACTAACCAATCCCTTTGAAAGATTGTGGCCTAGCAAGTCATCTTGGTGGAACTACAAGCCCAGGGCCAGAAAGGCCATATATGAAGAAAAACCCATTGCAATGCAGCTCTAATGGCAAGCCAAACTGTTTTTGAATAATTTTGTCCAATTGAGCTTTGCTCTGGTATTACTACCTTTGCTTACTCCAAGGAATTTTTAAGACCCAAGGGCAATGAAATGTTTACTTCCCCTGAAAAACTGGGTTACCTTCTCCTCATAAACATTGCAAATCATGTAACTTTTCATGTTTTTCTTATTATGACTGTTAAGAAAAGTACACACAAATTCATAGCTAAGACAATCCACAGGGTGTTACACAGTCAATCATCTATGTTCCAGTGTTACGAACTTTGTATGAACCCTATGGCTTCCATATCTCGCTTCCTAATTTGCCCTGATTTTAAGATCACAGTCTAAACTTATGTTCTAACAGATTCTGATTTTTATCAACAGATTGTCTTATTCAATCAAACTGTCTTATAAACTTCCAAAAATCCATTGGGAAACAAGGGTTAAAACAGGTCAAACAAACCTCACCTGAGCCTTGGTCATTTTCTTCTGTTCTTAAGGACTTTAGTAACTCTAGGGTGTGCTTTGTCTTCTGTCTTCCCTGGAACTCTGTGGAAGTTGTCATCAGATATATCAGCTTAGTCTTTTACCAGAAACAATGATCTCCCAAGCTGGGAACCTTCTCCTCCTTCTGTAAATTACTATCTCTTGATCTTGCATACCAGAACCTGCAGATTTAAGAGAAAATTGAATTATAAGAAGCCACAACTCTTGGTCTCTCTTGCCATGTGGACTCATCCTAACAAAAGGCTCCAGTATTTCATCTGTCTCTTTGTATAACACCCTGCAAGCTTTTATATCATGGTGCAGTCTCCACAGGGAGATATGGAATGGGGGAGAGGAATGCCTTTTTTGTTGTTAATGTCGTAAGATAGTGGATATGAAAAAGGAGATGAACAGCCAAAATCAGTTCATGGTCTCATCCATTGGCAAGTTCTCAAATAATTACCTTCAGGAAAGACAACATATGAAGCGGTCGCTCTAAAAATTGATGTACAATCACCTATGCCCATTACTTCTAAAGTTCTTTATATGGCACTGTGACAATAACCACAGATTAAAGACCAAAGTACTAAACTGTGAAGAAATGAGTTCCTTTATGTGGTCTTCTGTCTTGGTTTTTTTTTTTTTTTTTTTTTAAAAAAAAAAAAAACAGTTTGGGAGACTGTTTTCCCCTAAATCCTGAGGAGTTACAGCTGCCCTAATTCTTTGGAGAAGCAAGTCCACATGGGGGTGATCCCAGGTTGTTATCTACCCCAGATGGTTTGTTACAGGAGATTCCCTGGGTTAACTGATATTTCCTGGATAAGCTGTAAACAACTTGATGGTTTGATACTTTTTGTCTGGCCCTGGGCCACAGCCTGCCCTGTGATTTGTCTATTTTACTCACCTTGCAGGGATTGATCAATTTACTAGTCAGAAAGGTGGTGTGTGGAACACACAATAGGACTGCATGACTTGTGGTCCACCAAGAGGATCGGTTGGTTAGTGGTTTTGCTGGGAGGGCCACACTCTGAAATTGACCAGGAGATTGCTTATATAAGGATCCAATGACACAGACGTTGTTATAGACAGGCAAAGAGGGCACCTCAAGAACTTTAAGAGCCTGGAGCAGAGCTGTTTAGACCAGGAGTTCCTGGGAGGGGAACCACCTAAAAGAGCTGTAATATAAGCCAAAGTCTACAAAACTGAAGACAGTGACAGTCCTGGAAGATGCCCAGCAACAGAGCTGGCGGCAAGAGGCCCAGAAGGTGCCTGGTGGCAGAGTTAGCAGCAAGAGGTAGCAGAGCTGGTAGCGATGGCAGAAAGCTGCTTCTAGGAGAGCAGCAGCTGACCTAAGAATCAGAATCAGCACAAAGCTGGTTCCTATGAGGTGAAGGTCAGCCACACCTCTACTTCTCTGCTAGGTTCAATAATTCATTGCAATGGCCACACAGAACTCACAGACTACACTCACAGTTATGTGGTTTACTAGGGAATTAACAAGCTACAGCTCAGGATCAACTTGGAAGTAATAACAAGATACAACTCAGCAGACAAGATCAACTTCGTCAATCAGGACAGCTTCTGATCAGGACAGCTCTCAGCTCCTTCTTGGTCATGCCCGCAGGCCGAGTCCTCCTCTTGGCTATGTCCGCATGCTGGGCACTCCTCTTGGCTTCTGCTGCAAGGCCCCTCTCAGCCTCTGCCCTGCTTGGGCAAGTGTGAGAGCTCTTTAGCTCTACCAGCAAGCATCCTGCCCAAAGGCACTCAACTCTCTCTCTCTATAGGCCAGC